AGCGTTACGTATACAAAACATGTCTTGGAACGTCCACAATGCATCTTAACACATTAATAACCAAATTTTGCTAACGGTTTTGAAAAAAATAAAGCATTTAGGCTAGCATTCTATTTCCAAGTTAGCAGTTTTTGCAAAACAATCCGTCACACAAATAAAACAGTCCACGCGAGATACACGCGAAGCGGCAAATCAGCTTCTTGTGGCTTCAGACCATTGAGTTCTATAATAACTAGACCGGCTAACTTTACTGGGGCGAGGACGCCAAAAAAATGGCGGCCAAAGGACGTATTTCCGCTGAAATGATCGCTTTACAAAAAAATAATATTCTCGACCTCCCCCGGATTGATGTTATTGATTTTCCCGCCTTCAGTTGAAATTTCAAATGCAATTGCGAGCTGTATGATAAATAAACAATATTTTTCAAGGCCAAAACAATATTTTTTTCAAAAATGCCTAATCGATGTTCAATTGTAGAATGTCGTAATGTTGACAACACGAAGCACATCGCTTTTCACAGGTGAGTTATTCGCTTATCTTGTTTGTTCCCGAAAGATTGAATCGGCATTTATACAATTGAAAGCCCCAAAATCTGTTAGGCCTTATGAAAACACATTGTCTTAAATACTGCATACACTGATGTTTTCCTGTGTGTTTTTTAAAAAATTCAACAAATTTTTTTATTTATTTGTTGAATCAACGCATGAAACAATAAATTTACTAATCTATTTCAAATAGTTTTCCTGACGAAGAAAAAAACCCTGCACTTTTTTCGGAATGGGTAAATAGTATAAAGAAATGGTCGCCTCTCACAGTTCTAACTAAGTGGAGCAAAGTTTGTTCCGATCATTTTTCCGATAGCATGAGGAGAATATCAGGTAACAAAATGTGTCTAGAAGATAGTGCCGTGCCCACATTATTTCAACAGGTGCAGTATGTTGAATGTACGTAGAGCACTGAAAAGGTGAGTGGTCATTTTTCTATTCATGATCACTCATATTGTCTTAAGTCTCCCAGGAGACTGAAAAGACAATTCGAAGATGTTATAGACCGGGCAGAGTCTTATAGAAAGAGGTTAAAAGTGTCTAATAAGGAAAAAAGTAGACTGAAAAAGAAGGTAAATGATTTATTGTCAATCATTGATTGCCTTAAAGATGATAAAATGATCAGCTCTGATCAAGCTGAACTTCTTAATGCTTCACTATCTGGAGTTCCTGAAGATATTTTGAGTCGTTTAGTGGCAAACACTCAGGGTAAAAAAGGTGCTCAATACCCCCCAGAATTGCAGCTTTTGAACTAACTTTGAAATTTTACTCGCCTAAGGCTTATGATTATGTTCGTGAGAAGTTTAATTTAGCCTTACCTCATCATGGAGTAATTCGATCTTGGTATAATTCCATGGATGGTGACCCTGGTTTCACCAAGGATGCCTTGAATGCTTTGAAAGTGAAGGTTCAAGAATCAAAGAAAGATGGCAAGGAAGTCATATGTGCATTGATGCTGGATGAAATGTCAATCCGCAAACACGTAGAATGGGATGGTCAAAAAGTTTGTGGTTATGTTGACCTTGGTACTGGGATTGATGATGATTCACTCCCTGAAGCAACAGAAGATTTGGTGTACATGGCTGTTGCTCTAGATTCATCTTGGAAAGTACCAGTTGGTTACTTCTTGGCAGATGGCCTCACTGCAGAAGTAAAAGCAAATTTAACCAAGGAGTGTTTGATGCAGTTGCATGATGTTGGTGTTAAAGTTGGAAGTTTAACGTGTGATGGTCCATCCACACATCTTGCAATGATGAAGTTGCTTGGAGTGAAACTTTCACTTAATGATTTCCAAGCATATTTTTTACATCCATCTTATTTAATGTTGAAAATTAATGCATTTTTAGATCCTTGTCATATTATCAAGCTTGTCAGCGGAGCAATTTCTGAATTGAGAAATCTGAAGGATGAAAAAGATGGTTTGGTAAGATGGCAATACTTAGTTGAGCTAGAAAAACTGCAAGCCTCAGAAGGCTTGCGACTTGCCAACAAACTAAAGAAAGCTCACATAAACTGGAAGCCACAGAAAATGAAGGTAAATTTAGCAGTGCAAGCACTCAGCTCGAGTGTTGCAGATGCTTTAGAGTTCTGTGAAGGTAAGCTCAAACTTCCACAGTTTAAAGGGTTTGATAAAACAGTCAAATTCATTCGAGTATTTGATCTCTTGTTTGACGTTTTGAATTCCAGGAATCCAATTGCTAAAAATTACAAAGCACCAATATGGAAAGCGAATTACAAGCTGATAAAAACCTTCTTGGATGAAGCAAGGCAATACATCTTAAATCTGAAGGGTGCTGATGGAAAGTCGATTTTTTCCCATAAGAGGAAAACAGGATTCTTGGGGTTTCTGTTGTGCATTGAAGCAGTGCAAGGGCTTGCTGAGGATCTTGTTATAAGTGAAAATTCTCCCCTTAAATATTTGCTTACTTATAAGACAAGTCAAGATCATTTAGAATTGTTTTTTTCAGCTGTGCGAGGGTCAGGAGGTTGGAACAACAACCCGACATCTCGACAGTTCAAAGCAGCGTACAAGCAGCTGTTGAAACGACATAACATTAAAGGAGGTCATGGAAATTGTGTTGCTCAGGATGGTACCGAAATTCTAAGTAGACTAGAAGATCGGTGTGAGAGTGAACAAATGTCGGCAGATATTTCCGATGTAAATACTGCAAGAAGATACGATCTAGAACTGCGTGGGCCAGAACAAACTGACCACGATTACAGCGACACCTCAAACTACATTCAGCTTTCAGACTACAAGGAGGCAGGAATATCGTATATTGCTGGCTATGTCGCAAAAATGGTGAAAGGGAAGATCCATTGTGATGATGTATGGATACTCTGATATCATCTAAAGAAAGAGCACCAGAACTATTTGTGGCATGGAATAGCATCGGTGGTTTAAACATACCAACTGACGATCTTCTGAAAGTGTGTCAGGAAACAGAGAAATGTGTAATGAGGATGGTGAATTCCTGCCATGGTGGCTTGCCACATGCAGCAAACATATCGAGTGCAATTGCTGGGACGGTATTATCTGTGTGTGTAGAGAAAAAAGTTTTTAGCATGTTAGATGAGCATGTGTTAGAGTCGACAGTTACAGATAATCATGCTTATAAACTGATAAAGTGTTGTGCTGAGGCATTTGTGAAAATAAGAATGCATCACTTGACCAAAACGCAAAACGATAAGTTGCATGGTCAGAAAATTCGTAAAAAGCTGTCTAAGCTTGTGTTGTTCAATCATCTGTAGATTGAACGTTGCCTGGACACTATTGTGTTTTCGAGGCTTTGCCTGTGCCCAGAAATGGAATTTTTCATTTGACTATTCCATTTTTTTGAGGCTGTAGGCGTCCTGGCACATAGCAATATGTGTTTCGAGGAGAAATTTAATGGTGCCTGCACATTTGTGTTCGAGGCTTAAAAATGCAACATGAAATTATAACCTAGTTTACGTAACTATCAATTAAGAAGAATGAGAAGTAATTCGAAATGCAAGTCTTCTATGTGAGTATTCCTCTACAACATAGTAGAATATAGAACCACAATAGCACAATATTCATTTTGAACGATTTTTTTCATACAGAAAAAACACCCGTTTCGCTCATTCTAAATGGGTATTACTCAGAGTTCTAAATTTTAGAATGCGGAAGATAGCCAATTTAGATTGCTTTCTGTGCTATCTAAAGGCTATGTTTGTCTCTCCTGACCTCAATATCTCTGGACACTGTTAGTGTGAGACAGAAAAGATGGCGCTTAGTAGGAGCGGCAATCGCAGGGTAAAACCATACTGTTTGACTGTGAAGACATACTCTGCGTCTGGGAAACTTAGTAGGAAAAATATTTCTCTCTCTCCTAATGTTGTTCTTCCCATTCGCACGATCGATACATTTGAAGGCTTTCAAGAAAACCTTAACGAAGGTACAAATAATTTACGTGGAACTGGATCTCGATATGAAAGGAGGAGAGTGAATGAAAACGAATCCTGGAAGTGTTTGCAAGATAATTTAGTAAAGTCGTACATCGAAAATTGTGCCATGTTGCCAGGAAAACTCTGCGTAAAATGTTTAGAAGATGGGATACCAGCAAAGAAAGCAGAAATTAGATGTCGTGATTGCAGTCACGGACAGTTCTACTGTTTTGAGTGTGCGGAATCCCATCATCGAACGAGGAATGTTTTCCATTTGGTTGAAGTATGGAAGGTAAGCTTAATTCTTTCTGGCGGCACAGATGAATCCCTATAAAATTTGCCTGCCAGCAAAACATAAACAAGTTAAGCCGTCTATTAGAAGGCAATTCTAGGTGATTATTTCCAAAAGTCAATTCTTCAGATGAAATATTTTTGCTTTTTACATTTGGAATTTGGCTTGTTAAGCTCTAGTATTCATCAAATGCTGGCAATTTTTTACAACCATGTCTTAACTCTAAAGTAACTTAATCTGTAGTATTTTGTTAAAACTATCAATTAGGCCAATAATTTCTATGTTAATTATTTGCATATCAATTAATCCAATTTTTAATCTCATACAAAATTTAGATCGGCAGCATTTAAAAATTGTTGAATTCTGTCAGTGTATTAAGGATGCTGAAAAACTAATTAAACTCCAGCTGTGGCCAGGCTCATCTTCTAAACCCAAAATTGCATTTCACTTTGACTTCATGGATTTTGCTGAAAAATTCTTGCTCAAGAGCCATGTATCCTTGCACAAATTTTGCAGCACTGTTGAAGTTGAATATCCTGAAATGCTACCTAGACTGGTATGTATTTCTCACAAACCTGAATTGTGTACCCATATGATAGTCTACCCATGAAATAGTGGAAATAGATGGGTTGTACTTTGCAAAAAATTTTATTGAATCACTGTTATTTACAAACAACATAAATAATGCGTATTTACAAACAACATAAATAATGCGTATAAGGTAAGAGCACATTCAAATTGCACATGAAGTTTCCTTTGCTGTTATGACTTTGTGTATTCAACCTTATTTTATTTTTGAAACAAATGCACAAGTTTACTAGGTGTTCATTTTATTCTTGTTAAGGTCAAAAACATATATAATGTGTTAAACAATGGATCATTCGATGAATACAGGTATGTTATATGTTATAAAACAAAAGTCTATTTACAGTTATTGTAGACCTAATAGTTAGATTATATGTGTAGAGTAGTACAGTCTAACCCGTTTTAAGTACACACCATTGGACAACAGACTAGTGTTTTGACTGGCTTAATGAAAGTGTCAGCTTGATTGAGGTTTCATCATTATACTTCCATTATTATTAGCTATATGAGATTAAGTTTTGGATTTTACATAGTATCTGCTTAGTACAGGGTCATTTGATACAAGAGGTTTGACTGTATATATTATATCATTTAAGAATTTGATTTTTTTGTCAGATATTTCAAACACCAAGTCAGATCATTAAAGTTCATACAGAAAGACCTGATTGATTATAGAAATTGCCCTCTTTGCCCACAATTCAGTATTTGATTTCTTTTTTCCTACTATTTGCTTTGTGAACTATTTTAAATTATATGTTTTTTGTCACATATATTATCAAAACATTTAAAGTTGTTGTGAAATATAAAGTGTTACATGTTTACCATTGGCAGGGAATAGTTTTGCCGTCCCAAACCATGGCTGCCTTAAGTTTGCTGATCAGGATGAAGTAGATGATTTTGTTGATCAATATAGCAAGTCTAATAACAAAGTAGGAGAGGTAATTATTGCATGATGAAGGACTTTGAAGCCTTTTCAAAAGTATTCTGTGAAGGGGAGTGAATAGTTTGAAAACAAACTTTAAAAGCAATGGCAAAGCCAGCACTTTTTTACTTTTACATTGCAATATTTTTGTATTCAATCACTGGAAAAACAATGAATGGATTTGATTTTCTAAAGAAATTATTAACAATTTTGCTGACAAATTTGCATTGTAAGAGTAAAAGATTGGGCAGGCTTCGCCCCTGAGAAAAGTGGGTCTATGCTTCATGCAGGTCCATGGGCCTTGATACATACGTAAGTAGCTACGTGGATGGTCTATGACTTGATTGTGTAAACTGTCATGTTTATTTTTACAGTAATAAAACAATTGTTATATATGCGCTAATCTATAATGTGCTCCACCTTATTTTAGAGTTGTCAGATATTTAAGGCAGGAGAAGTTACAGAAGCACTTCACTCCAAAGGAAAAAATCAACTTTTTGATGAAAAAGGAGTGTTTGGTAGTTGTTGCAGTCGGCATTCACACCTTGGACGATATTTCAGCACTAAATATGGGGAAAGGTTAGTGTCTTAGCCTTGGTTTGCACGTAATTATCAATATTCTTGATCTTTGATGAGGTAGTATGGAGAACAAATCGTCGGGTTATAATTTCTTTTCCTGTGTCAATTTTGAAATAAAGGGACAAAGGACAAAACGATTCTGTGCTAACGAGATCTATTATTACCCTTTAATAATATTTAGTGTCTTATTATTAATATTCAGAATTTCGTATACGCTGTTCCTAATCCAAAGCATTTTAAAAGATGCTGACCAAAGTCCTGGTGTTGATTTAAAATAATGTATGATATTGGATGTGTATTATCATCACATTTAAAGGTATCTTAATGTTGTATGTATGATGTGGGACAAGTTCATTCACCAACTAAACTTTGAATAAATTGGTACCGTTCTAGGCAAACAAGAGGCATGACATTTTGTCAAAAGTGTCAATTTCGGTGCCGATATTTCATTGTTATGGACACAAGGCTTCATGCCAGGTAATGAATAAAGCTTTGTACCTGGTAATGACAGGGATGGATTAAGAGGCGGGATAGCGGAGGAATGTGCTCTCCTCCAACCGTGATTAGTGGAGATGGATGAGGAGTAGCATTTTCCCTAAGAAATTTATGTATATCAAACCATCAAGCGATCGTAATTGGGGTTTATGGAGCACAATTTCAAAAATCTCCAATCATTGTATATAAGTAACAAAATTTAACGAAAAATGTCTTGCATGCTACGGCAACAAGCAGCCACTAGAATCTTATCCAAACTAGAGCACCCCCTCCCTCCAGAAAAGTACATCCCTGGGTAATGATGTAGCGATTGAAGGAGACAATCTTTTCTGCTCTGGTTTCTTCCTTGATTAAAAGCCCCCGTAGGTAAAATATTATTTTTTAATGTCTTCAAAAAAACAGGTCAAATTCAGTCCTAGAAGGCTCGATGGTTTTGGTCTTACAGATGGTGAGGCTATTGAAAGGCTCTGGGCTTACCTTCGTGGGTTCTCTGCAATTACTAAGGAGATGTCTGCCAGTAGAAGAGTAGATCTTTTGACAGACGCGCTTCTTCAGTTATCTCGAAGAAATTTTAGCAATGCAGGTGCTTGAATATTGTCATTGCTTTATGTGTAACTATGCGTTGACACAATGAATATGTTTTATTTGTTTGTTGCGCCTTAATTGTTTTAATTTTTGTATATGATTTGTTTCAGGAAAATCGTTAACGTCGAAGCTTAAAAAATGTCTACAACTTAAAATTAAAACGCAACAAGAAATGAAGAATTTATTTAGCGAACTACCTGGTAAGTAGTTCTGGTAGGTTAGAAATTTCTTATGTTTTCTGTGGCCGAAAAGTATTTAAGATTTCTTTTGCCTAACCAAACTCTCAATTCAATTTGCATCCAAGGAAATACGAATTTATTTTGTTTGTTAGTGACGTACGATCCTGAAATTGTTTGTCAGTGGGAGGCCAAAGAGAAGGAAATTATGTCAAGAGTCTACCCAGGTACATAATGTCATTCATGGCAAATAGTTTCATTCTTAACAATTCAGTCTGTAGGATTTAAAGACGTACTTTTTAAATACAGAACATAAAGAAACCACGGAGAACTGGAAAGTGACGTACGTTCAAAAGCTACTGCATTTTAAACAACTAAGGTAGGTTTTTTAATGTACTAAACTGGCTATTTCTCTATAATACATGCCTATAGACGTTTTAATATTTCTTTTGAGCCTAATTGGTGAATTATTAAATTCTTAGTGCTACATTATTCGGATGTTTTGAAGAAAAACATCAGATAACATCTGAAGATTACTCAATTGATCAGATGTCGAAAAAACTATACCAGTATGTATAAATGTGTCAAAGCAATATTTTGCTTTAAAGTTTTTTTTACATACGCGCAAAATTTATGTAAACAGGTTTCGAAAGATTTTAAAAGATATTGAACGAAAGCATTCTGTAAAAGAAAGATGGAAACCTGGTCATCCTAATTTTGACGTCGTTGCATTGCAAGTCATACAAAGAAAACGAAAAGATACTATCGGAGCTTTACATAGACTTTCCATAGAAAGGCATTTCTTAATAACATTGAGAAAGAAGTATGCAGGTACTGTAATGCACTGTATATTTCGAATACTTGTAAATGTTAATTTTGTATTCCTTTTACTTGTTTAGATGGTCAGAAAATTGCCACTCGCTTGTCCAGGCAAATCACCAAGATCACGAACAAGATGAAATTAACAATTGAGAAACACAATGCTGCCATTGATTCTCTTCGTGATTTTATAAACAGTTTACCCGATCGTCTGACATTTGACAAAGCGAAAGATCCTACATCAGACCTTTATGAGGGATTTGAGTCTGAAGTTACAGAAGCACTTCACTCCAAAGGAAAAAATCAACTTTTTGATGAAAAAGGAGTGTTTGGTAGTTGTTGCAGTCGGCATTCACACCTTGGACGATATTTCAGCACTAAATATGGGGAAAGGTTAGTGTCTTAGCCTTGGTTTGCACGTAATTATCAATATTCTTGATCTTTGATGAGGTAGTATAGAGAACAAATCGTCGGGTTATAATTTCTTTTCCTGTGTCAATTTTGAAATGGAGGGACAAAGGACAAAACGATTCTGTGCTAACGAGATCTATTATTACCCTTTAATAATAACAAAAAGAACAAAAAGAACAAAAGTACAAAGAACAAAGAACAAAAAGTCGAGAAATTGGGGGGGGGGAGGGGGATAAAATACCCGGATCGCCACCCAAAAAATATCAGCCCGCAAGCCCATGACTTATCGTGAATTTTAAAAGCAGTCACTCGAGTCGCTAGAAGCACCTCGTTCTCATAGAAGCGATAACGGAAACTACTATCTCCAAGAAATCCATTCCCAGTCCAAGGTCCAGTAGTTTCCGTTATCGCTTCAATGCAATGTGTAGCCTTCCAACTGTTGCTTGTGTTTTCTTCCAAACTATCTGTGAGCTTTTTCAAAAAGTTCTTGAAAATATATATTTTATATGTTGTATAGAATATAAACTGCTTTGTATATCATTTATATTCATTCTACAACGAAGGTAACTAAAACTCGATTGTGATTGCCAATGAGAATACACATAATTCTCAATGTCTTGCCGTCAGCAAAAGATGTATGTAGGTGACGTAATTTTTTATGTGACAACTGTAAACACAAAATCTTAAATGGCGGAATCTTCCTAGACGTTTGAGAATCTTCCTAGACATTTGCCAAGGTTTACCGACGGATTTGGCTGAAATTTTTAAGGTTAAGGACGCAAAAACCCGAAAACAGCAACACGACCAGGAGTGTTTTTAACGATTTTTACGGGGGAGAACACAAAAGCAAACCATTAAAACTTCGTGAATAAATAGACAACCACGTCTAACTCATTACTTCTTTGCGCATGTAGATCGTCCAAGTTAGCAGAGTCCTGAGAAGGACTATTGGTGTTGATGTTGACTAACGTTTTGATAACCTTAACGGTAGTCATCCTCAGAATCAAGTCACTTATACGATACAAATACAGAAACGCTTTATATGGATAACATTTATCAAATTCGTGATATCGTGTTACGTCGTGACGAATTTTCTCACCTGCTTTCGCGATTGCCAGAGGCGTAACTAGAACGTTAAATGGGGGATAAATATTCTCGTAGTCAGTTTCGCCCGACTGATTTTTTTGAAACTCAATTTAATTTCATCAGTAGGGCACAACGGATTATATGAATATGCACCCCATCCCCCCACACACAATTAACGTTCTAGTTACGCCTCTGGCGATCGCTGCAGATCTGCGACAATGCAACTAAAAGTGTTTAAGCCTGGCCCTCACTGGTGACATAAGGATGAGCATAAATGTGTTCTCCATTTCAAACAACACAATTATCAATAAAAACAACAAGAACAAAGAGTTTTGACAATCCTGTTTTCACAGAATAGAGAAAATCTAAACGTACAATTTAATAACCTCTTCTTTCGCCTCAAGCTTTCTACTCAAGTTTTGAATAAGTATCTTGTGCTCTTCCAACATTTCCGTTTTCTCCTTCAAGACTTTAGCATTATGAGCTATCTCATTTTCAAGTATCTGGAGATTTTTCTGTGCTTCCTCGAGTTCTTCGCAAACGCCCTTCAAACGCTTTTCGACATCATCGCGGCCAAACCTTAGATCGCCATTACACGCCTCTAACTGGCCGATGTGATCTTCTTGCTCCTTCAAAACTTGCTTCAATTCAGTCATGGTTACTGTATCCATGTCGCAGCGACCTTTAAGGGTTGTGATCTCGCCTAGTCGAGAATTAAACGACATAGTCATGTTTTGAACAACAACAGCTTCCCCAGGAAGCAAATCTTGAATTCTTTGACAAAGAGCTCTCGATGAGCTAACGAGTTAATACTGTTGTTTATTTAAGATTGATGTGGATTAGGATGCTTATCTATTTAACACAATATATCTCTTGGCAAGAGAGAGAATCAACTAAGAAAAATAAACAAAGCGGAACGCAATGCATTGTAGGATACAGGAAGTGAAACACACACAAAACTGTATACATGAGTAGACAACTCACAAGTATGATTAAAACCTAAACATGAAACTGCCTTTATACAATACTCCCACTCAGTTTGATGTTTAACCAAAAACAAAATACAAACAAGTGAACAAAACATGAAACAGGAATAACACATTCCACAATCTAGTCCTATGCCGGTCAGACTAAGCTAACCCTAACATGTCTCTAAGTGAAACGAATCACTCTCGGGGCAGAGATTTCGTGAGAATGTCTGCTATATTTTCTTCGGATTGGCAATATTGAGTAGCGATGTCAACTTTTTCGATAGCTTCACGTGTGTAATGATACTTAATATCTACATGCTTTGTACGCTTGCTTGTTTTACCGTTGTTTGCTATCGCGAGAGCAGATTGATTGTCAACATGAATGGTGGTGGCTGTCGATGGTGGGGCTCCAATATCTGACAGTAACTGACGTAACCATACACACTCCACCACACCATCGAAGAGAGCTATATATTCGGACTCGGCAGTTGATAAGGCTATGATTGACTGACGCTTACTACACCAGCTCACCGGTCCACCAGCGTGTATGAACACTGCTCCAGACTTCGAGTGACGGTCGGCACTACTGGCGTAAGCAGCATCTGTATATCCATATAGGGATTTTCCTTGTTTTCGATATACGAGACCTAAATCCTGGGTACCTTTAAGGTAGCGAAGAACCCTCCTGGCGGCCGTCAGGTGAGTCTGAGATGGGTAGGAGTTGAACTTTGATAAAACTCCCACTGTCTCCGCTATATCAGGACGAGTAGACACTGCAGCGTATAGGAGACTTCCTATGATAGACTGATAGAGCTTAGCGTCGACTGGCTTGCTACCATCATTCTCTTCTAACTTGACATCACATGCTGCAGGGGTGGATACAGGATTACAGTTTTCCATGTCGAATCTTTTCAGTAGTTGTCGGATATACGGTGTCTGGCTGAGGTGTAAGGAGGAGTTGTCTTCTCTCTTTACGACTATACCTATGCAGTGGTGTAGCTCGCCGAGATCTGTCATTTTGAAGCGAGCTGAGAGAGCAGACTTTACCTCAGTCATCTGTGTGTCTGTATCAGACATAATACAAATGTCGTCCACGTACACTGCGATCATCATCTTAGAGTTATCCTTCCATCGCACGTAAACACAGCTATCTGCAGTAGATCGAGTAAACCCTAAAGATTTTAGGAACTCATCTAGCACAGTGTTCCAACATTTCGGCGATTGCTTTAGTCCGTATAGCGAACGATTTAGCTTGCAGACTAAGTGTTCCTTACCTGGAACTACAAACCCCTCTGGTTGTGTCATATAAATCTGTTCGTCATCAGGGAGTGTGCCATTTAGGAAGGCTGTTTGCACATCCATCTGGTGTATGAGCATTTCACGTTCCACAGCATCAGCCAGTAGCACACGTAATAAAGAGCGGTGAACTACTGGTGAGTATGTGTCGTCGTAATCTATACCAGCTTGTTGTGCGTATCCTTTGGCGACTAGTCGAGCTTTGAACTTATCTACAGTACCATCGGGTGAGTATTTTGCTTTAAACACCCACTTCGAACCTATAGCAGTACGATCAGACGGTAGCGACACTAACTCCCAGGTTTTGTTCTCGATAAGTGATTTATACTCACTTTCAGCAGCAGTCATCCATTTGTCACGATTCACACTCTCCTGCACCTCTGAGAAAGACAGTGGCTCTATGATATCAGTGGCTGAGCAAGCAACGTGACCCATACCAGTGTGATCATCAATACCGAAGCGGATGATGGGTTGAGTAGAACGAGATGGACGTGCGGAGGTAGGTGGGGACGACTCATCAGTGTTGTTTACATGTAGGTCTACTTCTAAAGTCTCAGAGCGAGCTTCCTCAGGTTTGACAGTAGACTTGGGCATACCTAGCTTAGTTTCGTCGAATACTACATCACGGCGCACCTCTATCTTCTTTGTAAGCGGATTGTAGAGTCGATACGCTTTGGATCTGAGGCTATATCCCACGAATATCATCTTGTCTGCTTTCTCATCCAGCTTTCGTCGCAGCTGATCTGGAACGTGAGCGAACGCTAGACATCCGAAGATTCTTACGTGTCCGAGGTCAGGCCTTTTATTGTTCCATTTCTCATAAGGAGTTATGACCTCTCTGTGAGCTCGCGTGGGAAGACGATTTCTCAGATACACAGAGGTGGCTACTGCTTCAGCCCAAAACGTTTTGGGAAGACCGGATTGAGCGATGAGTGAACGTGCTGCCTCACAGATAGTACGATTATAACGTTCGGCACAGCCGTTCTGCTGCGGGGGAGTATCGTGCAGTCAGCTGATGCTGAATACCTCGTGAAGTCAGGTAACTCTCAAACTCGTGAGATACATACTCGCCTCCGCCGTCAGTTCTCAACGTACCTATAGTCTGACCGGTAGCATTAGTAACCATAGACTCATACTCTTTGAAGACCTGAAACACACTGGATTTATCATGCAAAAAAATAAACATGAGCATATCGAGAGAAATCATCAATGAATGACACTATGTATTTACTACCACCTATAGATTCTGTTTGCATAGGGCCACACACGTCTGAATGGACTAACTCGAGCACCCTGGTTGATTTGATCATGTTATCAGTATGAAATGGTTGACGAGTCATCTTGCCTTTTACACAGGCTTCACACACACCAATGTTACCTGATAGATCACAGCCATTGTTACACCACTGAGTCATGTTTTTGATACTGTTGATATTAGCATGTGCGAGACGTTGGTGCCACAGAACTGTATTAGACGCACACCTAGCAGAATGATCATCGGTTCTAACATCGAGGTAGTAAAGTTTATCTCTCATGGTGCCAGATGCACACACCATCTTTCTACGATTTTTGACCCAGCATCGAGAATGTCCGAATTGGATTACGTAGCCATTCTGAGTGGCGGCTTTTACTGAGAACAGATTTCCACTTAGTTCGGGGATATGTAACACATTGTACAGAGTAGCATATCTGGATTTATTTCGACTCTCCCAGACCTGAAGTTTCACACTACCTTTCCCCCTCACTTGTATCTTGGAACCATCGGCTATCATAACATACTCGGGTGATTCTGGTGCAGTAGGCGTGTAGTCACAGAAAGCATCTCGTTCTTTGGCCATATGACTAGTAGCTCCACTGTCGATTAGCCAGAGTTGAGGTTCGGCGTTACCCTCGGACACCGCAAACGCCGTCTCACCGCTATCACCATCATCCTGTTGTGACATCTTAGCATGATGAGGTCTGTCAGAGTTATTTTGATAGCCACGGTCACGCCCTCTACGTCCTCTACCACCACGAGATCCGCGACTTCCCTACCACTACTGCTCTTTCTGGGACAGACATTCTGATAGTGGTCCAAAGAACCACATATATAGCATCCTCTATTTTGCTGATCAGCTCTGCTATTGGCCGACAGCAGGGCAGTGTCAGAATTGGCTTGAGATCTGCCACTACCAGATACGCCAGCCGAAGCCAGAGATCTTTGTTCTCTCTTCTGTTCCTCATTAAGTAATGTCTGAGTCACAAACTCCAGCGATATATCGTCACCTCGTGCCTCTAGAGCGGTTACGACAGTTGAGTAGCTATCGGGAGGCTACCGAGCAGAGTGACGACCTGATCCTCTTCGCTTATATTAGCTTTGATCGCTGCGAGTTTGTCTGTTATGGCTTTCATATGTCGGAGATGTTCCTGCATAGACGTACCTTCCTTCATAACAGTTCTAAAGTATTGTTTCTTGAGAAACAGTTTGTTGGCAAGAGTATCACGCTCAAAATGAGCACTCAACCTGTCCCATGCTGCTTGGGCATTAGCACATTCAGTGATCAAATAGATGAGATTGTCGCTTACTGATAAGACTATGTGGGAGAAAGCTTTGCTATGATTCTTTTTATAAGCGGTCTTGTCTGCTTCACTGGCCTCACTGCTCAGAGTAATGGATCCATCTACATATCCAAACAAGTCCTTTGCTATGAGAAGGTGTTTGAGTTTGAATTTCCAAGTTGAGTAATTGTCTGTAGTGAGCTTATCCACACTCCAGCTTTTATCATCCATGATCACTGATGTTTATTTTCTTAGTTGGAATGGGTGTCTGGGCCCATAACCTGTTGTTTATTTAAGATTGATGTGGATTAGGATGCTTATCTATTTAACACAATATATCTCTTGGCAAGAGAGAGAATCAACTAAGGCCCCGTCCACACGTATCCGGATTCGTTTGTATCCGCAAACATTTTGTTGCGGTTACGCTTATCGTCCACACGTATCCTGTGAAAACGCATGCTGTAACCGCAAACTTTTGAAAACGGTCTCCAGAGTGGAAACTTTTGAAAACGCATTGAATCCGGATACGTGTGGACGCACTGTAACCGAAATGATTAAGGCCCTGTCTACACGTATCCGGATAAATATGAAAACGCAAAACTTTTTTTACGGATGTACGTTCCGTCCACACGTATCCGGATAAAACGCCCACACAAACCGTATACTTTTGAAAACGCTGTCCAGAGTGGAATTTTTGGAAAACGGAAAAAAATTAGTCTCGTGTGGACGGGTGAAACCGTAAAAATACAGAAACGATGACGTTAACTATTATTTGGTCAAACATGGCGGAAACACGAAAGGTTGTTGCGATATTGATTTGCCTTATTTCAAGCATAATATCATGCGTCCAGCTTTATAATGCGGTGTTGAATTCTCACGGAGAATATATTCGAAATCG